TGCTGCTGCTGTTGGCGGTACTGCTGCGATGCCAGCTGAAGGAGAGATGCTGCAGGACTGCTGCTGCTGCAGCTGCTGCTGCTGTTGCTGCTGCTGCAGCTGCTGCTGCGGTGCAGCTGGCTTAGAGAGACTCGTGCATCTGCTCTTGTCTTCTTCTGCTGCTGCTGCTGCTGCTGCTGCTGCTGTTTGTGCTGCTGTTGCTATGCCCTGTGTGTTACTTCTGCTGCTGCTGCTGCTGCTGCTGCTAGCCAGCTGCTGCTGCAGCGATCCCGTCTGCTGCCTGCGCTGCTGGAAGCGCTCGCCGAGGCGTTTCATTGCTGCTGCTGCTGCTGCAGCAGCAGCAGCAGACGCTGCAGCTGTTGCTGTTGCTGCTGCTGCTGCTGCTGCTGCTCCACAAGCCCAGCACCACCCTGCAGCAGCAGCAGCAGCAGCAGCAACAGCAGCAGCAAAAGCAGCAGCAGCAGGTATATTAATATATTATTTTTTGTATAATAAAACTAACAAAAAGAAAAAAGGAGAGAGAAAGGGGGGGGGGGTTGCTGCTGCATCGACATGCAGCGGTGAGGTGTACATACACCTCAACTAGGAGCAGTAAAAAAGCAGTTGTTTTGTGTATTAAAAGCTAAAAATAATAAATAAAATAAAATAAAACATTTATTTATATTTATTTATTTATTTATTTATTTATTTTATTCTAATTTACACAAAAAAAACAGCAGCTTCTCTCTATCGAAGCGCGCATGCAGCCCCCACCGTGCTGGGGTGTATAGGCAGCTCAATTTGTTTTTTTTTTTTATTTTATTTTTTATTTATTTTTATTTTTTTTAATTGTTTATAATATATTTTATTATATTATATTATTTTAATTTAATTTTATTTATTTATTTGTGTATATTTGTTATTTATTGCGTTCTTTTTTTTTTTTATGTTCATATACTTGTTTTACTTATATTTTTATTTTATTTTATTTTTTTTTTGTTTTTATTTTTATTGTTGCTGCATATACACCTCAACTGCTGCTATTATATTATCTTCATTAGCTGCAACAAATAAAAATATAATAAAATAATATTATAGAATAAAAAGGGTTTAGGGTTTTTAGGGTTTACAGTCTAGGGTTTAGGGTTTAGAGTCTAGGGTTTAGGGTTTAGAGTCTAGGGTTTAGGGTTTAGTATATATGGTGTGAGGATACAAAAGAAAACCCTCGACGACATCTGCTGCTGCAGCGCAGCAGCAGCAACAGCAGCAGAAGCAGCAGCAACAGCAACCGCAGCAGCAGCAACAGCAGCCTAAACCCTAAACCCTAGTATCTAAACCCTAAACCCTAAACCCTAGAAAATATTCCTTAAAAAGGGTTTCTCTTGTCTGCAGCAAAAGCGAAAACATTTCTCCATTCATTGTTTCTAGGGTTTAGGGTTTAGGGTTTAGGGTTTAGAGTCCAGGGTATATAATACATACACCCCACGATATATGTATACATATATATATA